CATTATGTTGAGATATGTTCCTGCTATAACCAACTTGTTGAGAGTTTTTATCATGAAAAGATGTTGAATTTTATCAAGTACTTTTTATGCATCTATTGAGATAATCATATGATTTTTATCTTTCATTTTGTATTGTGGTGTAATGGGAAGGTGCTAGCTTAGTAGCAGCTTAATATGTCACGTTCATGGATGGTTGATGAGTGCTTCCATCTGGAGGTACATCATGTTTGGTTGTCTCTCTTTTGGTGATGTTTGCAGCCATTGATATAAGCCTTAGATTCATTAGGGGTTGCAAAGTGTTGATATTCTAATTCTTTTCTTCTTCATTTATTATCTGGAATACCAGATATTTTTTTAAAGTAATATAAACCTTACTGTAAAGCTATATTCAATCCTGTAAAATGTGGGGTCATGTTAAGTAGAATACAATGAAAGGAGGGTGTAGTATATCCAAATTCACATTATCACAGTTTTGTTTTGTTTTTGTTTTTTAAAGATTTTTTTATTGGGGAATTGGGGGGATGGGAACAGTGCTGGGGAATTGGGGGAAGGGGAACAGACAAGTTGCTGTTCTTTTTGTTCTTCAGTCTAGTCGTGGAGGACGTTGCTTCACTGGCCCAAGTTGGCACCATCATTGCGCTCTTCCCAGGCAAGGCAGATCAGTCGCCGTCCTCTGGACGGCCGCTCACGCTGGCTGCTGGCTACACACAGTAGTCCATGGCAACCCACTGCCACAGGGGCTGCAGCCTACGCCATCGCTGGCCACTCACGGCAGCCCAGCTCCAGGTTGAGCTGTTGTTCAGCATCTTAGCTGTGGAGGGCAGTCTCACTGGCCCTCATATGTGGGATCCGAACCGGGGCCCTCTGGCATCCCACGCCAGTTCTTAACCATCGCGCCACTCGGCCGGCCCCATTATCACAGTTTTACTGTACCGAATTCCTCATATTAAATCCCTTTCTACTTAATATGCCTTGGGAGGTTTCTGTTTCCTGCACTGAACTTTCCTATACAGATACACTAAAAGGAAACGCACAACCACAGGAATTGGCAGGGGGATAGAAATGTCTGTTTCCTTACTTGTTAAAATAGAGGTCCTAATATCATGGCTCATTGAGTTGTTGGAAGGCCTGGGATAAGTCAGGTAAAGTAATCAGCATGGTAGCTTTAATTTTACAGCCTGCAGCTATACTCTAAGGAGCACTGAGGTAGAGAGTCCTGTGTTCAACTGAAAAAAGGGAGATGGATGAGAAATGGTCTTGTAGCAGTCTCCTGTAAGAGAGCGACGTGGATGAGAGACCGCCTCACGGCAGCTTTTTGCAAGACTGCTTATCTCCTTTTGTTTCAGGAGGAATCACCAGGAGTTCTGCTAACGTTCCGGTCCGACCATGGTTAAGTCTTGCCTATGTGGTTTACGTGGAGATGTGTAAGGTTGTCACCGTGCCATGGTGGAACTGCTCCCCATAGTATCACCTCACAGGTCATTTGTCAATGGCAAAAAGGGAAAACATCTTTCCAGAGGACACACAGCTAGTGGCCACTACCTTTCCCAGGGATTAGACTTGACCGCCACTGACGGGGCAACCTGACATCAGGTACCTCAGGATGGGAAGCAATAAGGAAGATACACACAGGAAGGATTCTTGCTAAAAATACTCACCCTGCTTCTCATCAAGCAGGTGCTTCTCAAGAGTTAACTTCCAGTTTATAAGAGCTACAGAAGACAAGCTAAATGACACCATGAGGAAACAATAAGGCAAAGTGAGTGAGGGACCTTCTACAAGCAGCTGGCCTGGCCTCTTAAAAACGTCTACCTTCCAAGGGTGGGCAGATTGTGGGGGTGGCTATTCTGGAATTTTAAAAAGACTAGATACCTAAAAAAACAAATGCAGATGTGAACCTTGATTGGATCTTAGTACAAAAAACAAAATAAACAATAAGAAAAGCACTTTGGGAATTAGTTTTTCTTAGAAGTGGCAACAGCATGAAGGAACATGTCATTTTTCAGAGACACATGCTAAATATTTAGGAGTGACGTGTTAAGATGTTTAGAAACTACTTTTAAATGGTTCAATAAAAAATAACATGTAGGGCCAGCCGAGTGGCTCAGTTGGTTAAGAGCTTGCTCAAGAGTGTGAGCTCTGAGCAACAGCGGTTTGATGCCCGGCCTGAACTGAGCTGCCGCTGAGCTGCCAACAGGTGGCAGGATGGCTCAGCTAAAATAAATAAATAAATAAATAAATAACATGTACACATAAACAAGTAAATAGGATACAATGTTAACAATTGTTAAACATAGGTGATGGGTATAAGGGCAATCATTGTACTATTTGTTCACTTTTTCTATGTGCCTGAAAAATTTCATAATAAACATCTGAAAGGCAGAATATTTATATTTTTTAATTTCTTCATGGAAATTACATTCTAGTCGTGGGGGAGGGGGCAAATATCAAGGATGAGTAAGTAAAATAGAGGAAATATTAACGATAAGTGCTTAAGAAATGAAAGGAGGGCCGGCCGAGTGGCGCGATGGTTAAGAACTGGCTTGGGACGCCAGAGGGCCCCGGTTCGGATCCCACATATGAGGGCCAGTGAGACTGCCCTCCACAGCTAAGATGCTGAACAACAGCTCAACCTGGAGCTGGGCTGCCGTGAGTCGCCGGCGACAGCAGAGGCTGCAGCCCCTGTGGCAGTGGGTTGCCATGGGCTACCGTGTGTAGCCAGCAGCCAGCGTGAGCGGCCAGCAGCCGCCGTGAGCGGCCGTCCAGAAGCCGGTGACTGATCTGCCTCGCCCGGGAAGAGCGCAATGATGGTGCCAACTTGGGCCAGTGAAGCAACATCCTCCACAACTAGACTGAAGAACAAAAACGACAGCAACTTGTCTGTTCCCCTTCCCCCAATTCCCCAGCACTGTTCCCATCCCCCCAATTCCCCAATAAAAATCTTTAAAAAAAAAAAAAAAAGAAATGAAAGGAGTGAAGCACTGCCAAGTGTGGGAGTTGAAATGGTAGGCTGAGCGGTCAGGAAAGGCCTGAGTTATGTTTAAAGAAGACCTGAATGCAGGAGGGAGCAAGCTGTGTGGGTATCTGGTGGAAAAGCATCCAGGCACAGCAACAGCAAGTGCACACAGGCCTTGAGGTTGGAGCCAGGCTAATTCATGGAACTTCTCGGTTGCTCAGTTCCTGTCACCCTGAAGAGGCCAGTGCAGTAGGTAGGAATCACGTGAGCACAGTGGTAGATCAGAATAGGAGAGCCGTATCAAATCTTCACCAAGTCAAATGCATATAAAACTTGTATATATAAACACTTCTAGGCATATGGGCTATCTGGAGGAATACATTGGAAACTGCTAAGGCTAGCAGTCTCTGGTCAGAATTAGGTGACTGGGGTCAGGGGAAGTCCTACATCTTGACTTTTCACTGAATATCCTGTTTCACGTGAAATTTTCACCATGCTCAAGTTCACTGCTATTTCCAACACAGACCATAAACTTCTACAGCCCCAGTTTCTATGTGTGCCCAAGGGTCCTGTTTACAGCCCCTCCTCCTCATAGGAACCACTGCAGAACCCTCCCTATGGCCATTTTTCCTCAGTACAAGAATCATCGCCCTGCACGTTTGACTTCAGATAGCCATTTGAGTGGTCTTAAAGACACATGTTTGGCCACATGGTGCTCTAGGTGGTTACGCTGTCTCAGGAGTCCCCTGTTAACAAATTTGGTGGATGATTATTGTATGGCAATTCTTTTGGGGGTGTCGAAGATTTTTTTTTCCCCATTAGGTTTTATTGGGGAATTGGGGGAGGGGAACAGCGCCTGGGAATCAGGGAAGGGGAAGAGACAAATTGCTGTCCCCTTGTTCCCCAGTCTAGCTGTGGAGGACATCGCCTCACTGGCCCACGCTGGCACCATCATTGTGCTCTTCCGGGGTGAGGCAGTCGCTCACCGGCCACTGGATGGCCACTCAGGGCGGCTCACAGCAGCCCACAGCAGCCCACTGCGGCCCTCGCCACCACCGGGGGCTCTCGGCAGCCCAGCTCCAGGTTGAGCTGTTGTTCATTATCTTAGCTGCAGAGGGCGCAGCGTCACCCGCCCTTCATGTGGGATCCCAACCAGGGACCTGCTGCCCAGAGCTGGGGCCCCAAGCCAACTCCCAACCAGCGCGTCACTTGGCCTGCCCGGAAAAACATTTAATTCGTCCTACTTAAATGACTTCCAATCATCACCATGATCAAATGACAGAAAGCCAAGAACACAGGCAGAAATTACACACTGTGCAGAAGACTGATTATTAGATATTAAGTATTTAACTATTAAGTATTAAGATATTAAGAAATTAAGTATAATTTCTTAGGTGTAATAGTGTGATTATTTTTTAAAAACATGTATCTCTAAGAGATACATATGCTTATTTCATCATTCATATAACTTATTTCTGAATAAAATATGATCTCTAGGATTTACTTTAAAATTACCTAGAGGGGGAAGGGAGTAATTAGAGATGAAACGGGTTGTTTATTGATAATTATTGAAGCTAGGTGATGGGTACATACAAGTTTTTATTATACTATTTTCATGTGGCTCAAAAATTATATAAGAAAAGTTCAAGGGGCGGCCAGTTAACTCAGTTAATGAGTGCAGTGCTTGTAACACCACGGTTGCCAGTTTGATCCCCACATGGGCCACTGAGATGCGCCCTCCACAACTAGATTGAAACAACTACTAGATTTGGAGCTGATGGGTCCTGGAAAAGAAAAGTTCAAAAAACTGCACAGATAATTAAGGGAACATACAGATAAAATTTTAGCACACATAGGGGCTTGAGGCTATTTCGTATAAGCACTCACTCTATTGTCTGGCACAGAGGACGTTGTCAAAGTTTCATAAAATAAAAATTAAAAACAAAAAAATAATCACTCTGAAGCCCCTCTTACTGGTCCAGGCACTATTTGCACCCTAGCTTATTACCCAATCATGCAGCTCGTTTACAAATACACACTCTTATACTTTTCCAGCAAGTATTTATTGTTAGGTAAGCCATGATTCAGGATCCCAGGGTGGGATGTTCCCAGGTCCCCCTTCACCTCCCTGGAAGAAGGATGGAGGACAGAGGAGAGGTGGGGTGGAGCCAGTTTAGATCTTCCCAGGAAACGTGCCTTCTGCCCGGCGGTCGTCCCAGGCCGACACCTGTGGAAAGACAGCCAGTGTTACTAGTTCTGTGGGTAAACCAGAAGCGTGGACCTCTCTGTCTTCCTCACTTTGCCCACCTGTTCATTTCTTCAGTCGGTCAACAAGTAACTCCACTACCTACACTGTTCCAAGAGCTGGAGAACCAGCAGAGACCCGGAAAGACAAGAATCACTGTTTTGAATGAGCTGACATGAGCTGACCCACGGGGGAGAGGTGGAAGAGGAATACCACGCAGAAAAACCCCAGGCTCAGTAGAGGGCTGTCTGTGGGGAGATGTGTGAGGTGCAGAGCTTAAAGGCAGTGGCTGTGTCCTGCTTCAGAACTTCAGTCAACACTCAATGATGTTTGTCAGAATAGAGGAAAGAAGGAATATGAGGCAGCTGTGAAAAAAGTAAGGCTGATCTATGCTCCAGCAATGAATGGATCTCCAAGATAGACAGTCAAGTTCAAAAAGGTGCCAAATGGACTAGAATGCGATACTACTGTTGTTCACAGATGTATGCATAACATAACAAATGACAGAAAGGCCAATTATCACACTGTTAACACTCTCTAGAAGTAACAACACTCAGCTCCCTGTGGGCCTTCCTACAGGCAGTTATTATAAGCATATTCATTTTCCCTCCCTCCGTCCCTCCCTTTCTCTCTCATATCCTATATAGAAGCAGTGGATAAAAGCATGGAAAAGGGAGACTGTATCTGCATCCCCACTCCATCACTTTCTACTTGTGTGACCTTGGACAAATTATTCAACCTTTCAGGGCATCAGTTTCCAAGTCTGTAAAACGAGAATACTAATAGTACCTACCTCATCCTATTTTTAGCATGTTTGCCCTTATACAATATAAAGCACGTACAATGTAGTTGGGCTATTCAATAAGAGCCATGTATGTGCCTATTTTATTTACACACACACATCACAAATACTCTGCACTTTCACACACACACATGGCCATACTATATAGACTGTCCTGCAACTTTCTTTTTGTTATTCTGTCATGTAGATCAAGATAAACCTATCTATCATCATTTACCTAACTTGGGTTGTTTCTGAATGTCCCCCATTGCAAACAACTCTGCAAAGGACATCCTTGTATATGAACATTTTTGTAGGATATCTAGAGATGATTTTTTTTCATTTTGAAAAATGCCACATCTACAGTATAATTTTTTTTCATTTTGAAAGATCCTGCCAAATTGATCTCAAAAGTGATTGGAACGATTTATAGAACCACCAACACTTAGCACTATCAACGTTTATAATTCTTGCACCAGACTGCAAGGGAAAGACAAGCATATCTTTGTTGTTCTAAGCTGCATTTCCCTGGTGACTTGATTGGGGACGAACACCTTTTCATGTCTGGGATTCATCTGGATTACCTCATACTGGACTTGTATTGACTACAGTCTACAGTTCTAAGTGTGAATTTCTCAGTCACTGGGTTTCTGTCCCCACTTCCTTTTAAATTAAAGGATCAGGCTGTTCTGGTCCATTGGCAAATTACCCTTTGTCCAATAATCCTATTTCATGAAAGGAAACTAAGGAAACCATTCAAATAGAGAGGAAACATTTCCTGAAATGGAATTGTACATGCAAGTATCATTTAAAATGAATGAGTCCAGCTAAAAGGGGGAATATCTCTTAACTGTTAAAGACGATGGCTACCCAATAATTGAGCATACTGCACTGACATAAAAACAGGAACACAATGCATGTTAAGTAAAAAAAGCAAAGTACAAAACAGTTTCTAGAGTATGACCCATATCAACATTTTTTAAAAGTACATACAAACACACCTACACATACACATACATTAGTATACAGAAAAGGAAGTGGAAGATTTACACCAAATTCCTGAGGAAAGTTAACTTTAGGAAGGGAGTGACCAGGGAGCTTTCACTGTCTCATTCTGAAGGTTCTATAAAAAGCCAGTGCTATTTTCAAGATTCTATAAAAAGCCAATGCTATTTTTCATGGAGACACTAAAGATTTAGAAAAAAAAAACAAAAAAAACCACAGAAAATAAAAGATGGTTGGAAAAAATGTCTTAAATGCTCATGTAGAAAAATGTGCTGGACTCCGGCCCCAACCCATCCGAAAATATAAGTACACGGATTAGAAATTAATTTAAAAATCACACAGGAGGGCCGGCCGAGTGGCGCGATGGTTAAGAACTGGTTTGGGACACCAGAGGGCCCCGGTTCGGATCCCACATATGAGGGCCAGTGAGACTGCCCTCCACAGCTAAGATGCTGAAC